TTGTAACCGCCTTCCAACGCATCCTCCATCAACTTCATCAACAGTTCTTTCGGCTCATCATCAAGAGTATATTTACACTGTTACACATATATGGAAATAGTTAATTCTAACATATAACAAAAAATTTCACAAAATTAATTATTTATCCATCAACAGTATACTTACTAATAATTCATCCATCACCGCCTTCTTCGCATTCTCCGACACATCTTTCCAAGAACGCCACATTACAGTAGGACAATTGTTCCCCATGGCTACAGCAATCGCATACGCGAACTGAAAATGCTGCATCAAATCATTTGGGTTGGGATTGGTCACGTTATCATCCTTGTTTTTATCTTCTATCTCAGCACGAATAGAATTGTGAAGAAAAACGAGAGGAGAAGGGCATATTTATAGGAAGGATAAGGCCTTTGCGCGACGAAGGCTTTGTCTCGCAAAGACCTCACTAAATAGTTTCAGATTCTGTTGATTTACATGCACTGAATGCTCTGAAAACTGATTGTAAGTTGCGCAATGAAGCCTTTGTCGTGCAAATGTTCCTCAATTTCCAAAGCGCTAAACGTTCTGCCCAAGAAAATGAACATGCTTTGCGCGATGAAGCCTTTGTCGCACAAAGATACAACAAGATTTGCGCGAAGAACCCTTTGTCGCGCAAAGATATAGCGGGAAAATCTTCATCGCGCGTTAGGTTTCCCACCAAACAAAAAAAAAAAACCCGTGTTTTTCTTGTTAGCTTTATGCGACGAACATGTTTTTTGTTATCGTGTAAAAGGTTTTGCGCGACTAAGTGCTCCGTCGGGCAAAGCTCATTATCCTTGCGCGACGAAGGTCTATTCCTCGTTGCGCAAGGTACCATTAAGCGACATAATTTGCTTTGTCTTGTAAAATTCTGTCACACAAGTAGTTTTTTGTACTAGTGTTTATCTTCAAAGGGGGGATGTAAGTATTATCTTTTGTTTTTAATATAGGAGGTATCCCACCACATATTCAATTGTATTTAGCTAGGATGGAAATTAGTTATATTCTGATATTTTTTTGGGGCAATTTCACTCGTTAAGGAAAGGCAAAGATGTCACATCCCGTCCCGGGTAGGACCATTTCCCAAGCCCGACTCCACTGCTGTAGCACGATATTGTCTGCTTTGGGCTTACCATTCCCTCACGGTTTTGTTTTTAGGAACTCACGAGCAACTTCCCAGTGGGTCACCCATCATGGGATTGCTCTAGCCCCCTTCTCGCTTAACTTCGGAGTTCCTACGGAACTCGAAGCTAGTGAGCTCCCAAAATGCCTCGTGCTAGGTAGGGATGAGAATATACATATAAGGATCACTCCCCTGGACGATGTGGGATGTCACAATCCACCCCCCTTAGGGGCCCGACGTCCTCGTCGGCACACCACGGCCAGGGTTAGGCTTTGATACCAAATTGTCACATCCCGACCCGAGTAAGACCACTTCCCGGACTCGACTCCACCGCCGTAGCCCGATATTGTCTGCTTTGGGCTTACCATTCCCTTACGGTTTTGTTTTTGGGAACTCACGAGCAACTTCCCAATGGGATCCATCATGGGATTGCTTTAGCCCCCCCTCTCGCTTGACTTCAGAGTTCTTACGGAACCCGAAGCCAGTGAGCTCCCAAAAGGCCTCGTGCTAGGTAGGGATGGGAATATACATATAAGGATCACTCCCCTGGGCGATATGAGATTTCACAAAAGATGAGAGCATTGAATTCCCTTTACTATTCACTCTAAAATGTAATTACCTTTATGCAACTCCACTTGTTGGGCAATAGCAAAATCGATTACTATTTACAAATATGTTTTTTTTCTTTTATGCTTTGTTGGCCCTATCCTCCACGTGTCATTAACGTCTTAGATTTTCGATAAGAGTTTCAGCCACTTTCGTCACACCACATGTCATTATCCATTAATAATATTCAATCATATTTTTTTAAGAGATTCTCAACCATTCCTGTAGTGCCACATGTCCTTATCCAATCTTTTGGTTTCGTTGTATTTCTCCATAAAACTCCTTCAAACCGTCACATCTTTTCACACCAAGCCTCATCCATTATCTTTACTCATCTCAATTCATAGATTTTTAGAAAGAAAGTTCTTTCAACAATGTCTATCTTGAGGAGGTTACAAGAAAATTGAGAACAAGAAAATGAGCGAAAAGATGAAGAACGAAGAAGAAGACATGCCCAATAGTTAAAGCGTGAAGAAGCATCCACCTTTCAAGTGGTGCAAGCGATAACATCAATCCATCAACACAACATAGAAGCAGGTGGTTCAAGAACCAATCCGGTGTTGAACCTCAACTGATGCAGGGGGCAACCGAGGTGATAATCTATTGGAAGATTACTCTATCACAAATAGTTTGTACCTGGAAGATTTATTTTTGAAAAAGATTTTGGGTGTGACCACATTTGTTCAACAAAATGATGGTTTCTATTTGTACTATGATAATTACTTTGTTCAAAAGAAAGATGTTGCAAATGTTTTAGGTCTTGCTCATAAGATAACCTGTCTTGCTCCATATTCAATACATGTTGGTGAGCCAATTCATCAACTAATTTTGAATAATCATTATTAAAAAAAAACTCCGTCTTGCAACTCTTTTCTTAGCAAACTTCTTATTAATAGGTTGGGGCTTCTTGGCTTTGTGGGACCAATTCAATTAGGGTCTCCAACGTCGACTCTTCAATAGTTGATTCGTGTAGGGGAGTCTCATTCGATGCAACTTGTGGACCACTCGGCAGAATTTTGTACTTTAGAGTATGTTTCACATGCTAATTGCATTTTAACATTTATTAAGAATAAAATGTTATTACCTAATTGGCTAGATTATCGTCATTCGATAAATTCCTTCCGCTTTTGCGATAGCTTTTTGCCAAGCTTTTAAATCTTAATGTAGATGTTTTTACCTATGCGACAAAGATTTCTCGGTTTGGGATGCGCCTTGAATCTGCATAGCGAATTGTGCATGAATTTTTTTTCCATGTGTGTTGCACCCTCATCTCATTTTTTGTGACCAGGTCATGAATAACAAGCACCTAAACCTCCAACAAAGTGATGTCTTCCCGGTTCGACCAATTTTTTTTCCCACTCATTTTTTTTTTAAATAACAAAAGGATTTGAAAAGTGGAAAACAAATATAATAGATTGTAGTGAAAATAAATGTTGAGTTATGGTGTGGGAATTGAAGAAGTTTGTTGAGTAATTATAGAATAAAAAAATTCTATTCTTTTTGTTTTTTACCGTTACATTAATCATGTCGTTGACTTCCATATTCTTTGGAAATCAGACACACCAGGATATGCCACGTGGCACATGTGACATCTTGTCCTAAATTTTATTCCCATAAGCAATGCAATTACCATAATGCCCCTGACATGCCACATGGATTTTCTACGTGCACTTGTCATTTATTTTCACTCCTCGTCTTTTATCTTGCCATATTTAAATAATTCTCTTAAATACGAACATTGGGTTATCAGCCTTGTTTCAAAATGCAGACTTTACCTCTGATTATGTTGGGCAAGTGGCCTAAATTGTTTAACAATTTTTCAAACTCAACTTAGGTCCATAAAATTTGTTAGGCTTAACCATCTACACAAGACTAGACCCTCTCTCTCTCTTTTTCTACCCGTGCCTCTCACTCTTGACTCACTGCCTTTCTTTCAATCTCCCCCATCCCTCTGACTCTTACTCCCTTTAGTTTCCTATTGCCACGACCGCTCTTGCCAACTCTGATGAGACAACCACCACCAAATCTCTCTCTCTCTCTCTCTCTCTCTCTCTCTCTCTCTCTCTCTCTCTCATACATGAACCAAGCTTAATGCACTAGACCAAACATCTTCTTCATTGTTAATATTCTAGTAAGATATAACAATGAACTTACACTCAAACACTGGACCGGTGTTAAAGACATCTTCAATTACCTCAAAGGTACGACAAATTTTGGTTTGTTATATCCTATGAATCCTCGAGATGAGCTGCAACCCCCCTCGATTCTCGAGATAATTATTGCCTTGTTGGTTCTGTTGACGCAAGTTACTTGTCTAACCCACACAAGGTGCGTTTTTAAATAGGTTATGTCTTTACCATTTGAGACAACACAATATCTTGTTGAGCATATTCGAAGCACCTTCGGACTTTCTTTTATCGTTGATGTCCCTAAAATGGTTTATGAAGATAACGTAACATGTATCGTATAAATCAAGAAGGGATATATTAAAGAACATCACAAGATTGAAGTGAAGCAAATCCGTTCCTATCACAACCTGGCCGACCTGTTCACCAAGTCATTCCCCAAATCTACTTGTCATAAGTTTGTTTGAGGAATTGGTATGCGTAAACTTTCTAAGTAGTAACACTGTTAGTTATTTTTGGAATTATATCAAATTCAAGGAAGTATCCGAAGTATACTCACTTGAACTTAATATACATTTTCCCTAAAATTAGGAGCATTTTTCCTTTTTGGTTTTTGCTAATTGACTAGGTTTTAACGAGGCATCCATTCAAATTGATCATACCCTTGTGTACGTCCTGTAGACGTTTAAATTGGCTTTGCATTAACTCACATTTATTCTTAGACTATGGCTTTTTGTCCCATATTGGGTTTTACAATAATCGGATTTTGTGAGACTTATTTTCATATGCAGGTTTCCTTGTTTAAGACTAGCGTGTTCTTAAATAAGTGCCTATGAGACGACTTCAACTTTGTTGTATTTGATATGACGTTTACTTGAGTATTTACACATTAAAGGTGAGTGTTGTGAATATTATTTAATATGTGATATCTTAGTTGATTTGGGTTTATTATTTGAGTGTTGTGAATATTTTCTAAAAGTGTGGATAAACATGCATTTGTAATAGGCAACCTTGGGCCTGTCCTTTGTTGGGTGTAAACAGAAAGTGGCTTTAGAGAAATGGGCTTCTAATGGGCTTTTCTCTTTCTAATTTCCGACTCTTTCTACACAATTCCTGCAACAAAATTGTCTACAATTGGTTTCGCATTTTGCTGTAAGTTCTCTAAGCAATACAACATCAACGACTGACAGATACAGCTTTGCTAAGAGATGGCGATGGCGATGGTCCGAGGTGCTGGGCTTCGGACCGCCCTGCGTGGCGGCTCTCGATCAGTTGCTCCTCCAAAGCGCTCCTTCTCCTCCTCTGCTGGACACAACGATGCTCGTAATTTCTTATCTTTCTCTCTCCGACGCCCGCACACACACGCGCACGAATATATGCGATTATTTAATTTTTCTTACTGATGGAATTATTATTTCTTAGTTTTATTACGAATTTTTTATCCGAGAAAATCCAATTAACATCTGAGTGAGAATCCTGAATCCTCAAATTATGTCTGTGCATCGTATTTCATGCGATCAAAAATTATTTTGAATACTGTTATTTAAAATTAAATATAAATAGTATCCGACAAAAACTGACAGTATGATGAAGTGAAATGATTTGAGGATTCCCGGGATCCTCACAAAGAGGATCCGGAGAGGATCCTCATTCTTAACATTTGGAGCTGCGGGTGTATGTTAGGGTTTTTACCTTAGTTCCTATATTTTTGTTATTATTTTCTTCCCTTTTGTTCAATAATTTGATAGGTTTGTGTATATTGTTGTAAAAGAAATGACCAAATATAAGATAAATTTAATTCCGGAATTTGGCGGAGTCTGAAGCCTTTCCGGTTAGCTTGAATAATGTAGAATGCTATGGTGACACATTAAGCATTGAGATCCATCTGGGTTTGGAGCATAAAATTCGTTCTCGATACGATTGGCATCACCGATTATTTTAGTGGTTTTAAATTGGATTGATCTGTTTTTCTACTTCACTTACTCAGGTGAGGCGGACAAGTGGGAGAAGATAACTTACTTAGGCATTGCTGCCTGCACTATTTTAACTTTTGTTAACCTGTCAAAGCCGCATCCTCACCATGAACCGCCTCCTGTGAGCTTTCTTAAGCGTTGCGATTTTTTCGCTTTTGCATTCCTTGATATTATGTCTTTACCTTCTGCAGTTGATGGTGATCCACGTTTTCTGTTCTTTATGTTTGCAGCCATACCCATACTTGCATATCCGCAATAAGGAATTCCCATGGGGTATGATATATGATTCTGAACATCATTGTAGACTGATTTTATGATAATCTTTTGTTGACCTAATGTGCATGTTCACTGTTTTCTTTTTACTTGAAACAATGATTAGATTTGAATTTTTGTCTCATGTGATTTAAGTCTGGTTTGATGTTTTTAGTATATTTTTCTCAAAGATGGTTTCTATGATGGAAATCAAATAATTTGGTTTTTTTTTTAAAGGAGGAGGGGGAGGGTGTCCGGTAGTCGACGGCCGGCACTCCGTTCTTATGTTGAATCGTTAGACTTGGACTACTTGGATCTAACAGAAGACATAACACAAAACCGAGCCCAGTGGTGTTCTAGGATTTCATATAGCCGACCCCACTTAGTGGGATAAGGCTTTGTTGTTGTTGTTGGTGTCTTTTAAATATATCTTTCATTTGATTGCTACATCTGGCATCACATTCTAAAACTTTGTATTCACCTTAGCCATTATTTTTCATCTTGGTTTTCGTTAGTACCAGTATGTCAAGTGAAGAACAGGTTGTTCGGGTAGTAGTAGGAGCATGTTTGAATTGTTTTCACGACCTTAGATGTATTTTGATAATTTGAAAGAAAAAAAAAAGGAAAAAGGGAGACCAATATCTACCAAGTATGTGAAATGTTGTTCCCAAGTTGATACCAATTCTAGGACTGGATTTTAGAATAGCTGAAATTGAAGCATTGTTAAAGCTGGTACATTCTTGTTCGTAGACAGATGTGCGTGCATATTGGTAAAAAAGGTACGCTATTTTGTTTTTCCAAATTAACTTGCATTAAAAACGAACACAAACTTCAATTGCTTTTGTGCTCTGAACAGCTTTCTAATTTGCCAACTTTTCCTTGCTGCATTTGGAGATATTGAGATGTTGAGGCATTATTGTTTTCTGTTTCTACTTGTTCACAAAGTTTCGTGTGTTTATTCTCTTTCTCTTCAAGAAGTTTTGCTCGAATATCTTGAGCATTTTCTTTGGTGTTCAGGTCCGGATGGCCTTTTCGAAAAAAAGCACGACCACTAGGCCGGCATTTGGGACATTTCAAGAAGGGACCATTTGGAATAACTCTCGTTCATGTTCATGTCAGACGGATGCATTAGTCGTCTTTGGGTTTATTTGGATGTGAATACGTGCGTGTATTTTTCTTTATGAAATCGGGATCAAGACTTTGTGGTTAGTTGTTCAGTTTAGTTATGTTTGTCTGTAACCATTGACGCACATAAATAAGATGATGAGATGTTGGTTTGTTTCTCTTTCCAGCTTTCTGATCTTCAATCTATATGTCTATTTTTTCCCGAGTAAGGTGATTTTTTGGGTCCATCAATATGTTCGACACAGCTTTTTCGGAGAAATTTATCGACTGAAACATCAAAATGAGAATTTCAGGATGCAAATGAAAACTCAGAATCACATGAGGTTTGTGGTGAACAAGTGCCTGATAACAAATGGATAGCTGTTTAATATAATACGTCGTTTAGCAGTAACACTCGAAGTTTTGTGTTCTACCGAAGCAATAATCTCAAGTCCTTTCCCTAGAGAAATTCTGAAGTCCAACTACCGGACCACCTTATTCTTACGGATCTAGACACGAAACTTTCCTCTGCTCCACGAGAGATTTTCCGTCGGACACCATGAGCGTGTGTTGTGTGAGAGAGGGATGGAACCAAAGTTTGGAAAATCAAGGGCAGTGGGGCATAGGGTGTCTTTGGGTGTGGACCGGACAAGTGCCCCATCTCCTGATTTGTCATGCTAAGCTTGAGCCATTTGAGTCCCACCCTCCTCTCACACCACCTCCAATTCAGGCGTCGTACCCAAGAACCTCTCCTTTCCCTAACTTAGCATTCATTTGGCAAAAGAAAGATCAGAAAAGAAGAGATTCTTGTTTTCCAACGCAGGGCACCAAACACTATGCGTAGGTTGGACCAAAATACAGGGGGTACGGTTTTGCGTGTCCGAAGATGGTCATATGGTCTGGATGTCTGCACCTAAAAAATTTCTCTAGAAGAGTGAGAGGAAATACAGCATCAAAGAGTGGATCATAAGAATTATGCAATTGCAGAAAACCTGAATCTTACAACTTGTCAAAATATTACCCACAAGATTGATAATATACCTTAGCACTATAATCACAAGGAGGTTGAGTGGTAGAGTGATCAATGAACGTTACAGTTAATCACCCCACAAGAAAAAATATATGAAATCAAAATGACATAAATGGTTGCGCAACGAATGGTGAACTTATTAAAATGTTTTACTCAGCGGCCGTTTCATCACCGTTATTAGTTTCAGTTTTGCTTTCCGGCAAAGTATCCAGGTCTATACGAGCCTCTTTCTCTTCTTCGGGGATTGAAGAATTTGTCGAATCCAGTGTCACATTGTGGCTCTCATTAGTATTGTCATTCAAGTTCGAAGAATCTTCGTTCTCTTTCTGGGCATTACCAGATCCTTCTCCGACAGCACCTTCGTTCTCCTTTTGGCCCGCATCTGCACTGGCATTGTCATTGGTGTTGCTTCGAATAACATTCTCATTCTCATTCTGTCCAGCCTCAACATTAGTATTGGTGTTTGAAGATTCTTCTTTGTCTTGGGATACTGAAGAATTCGACAAGTCAATTGATTCTTCCTTTTGGCCTGCATCTGTATTGGCATTTTCATTTGTGTTGTTCGGAACAGCACCGCCATTTTCATTCTGGCTAGCATCAGAGTTGTTATCTGTCTTTGAGGGTGCATCTTTCTCTTGTTGGAATGAAGAATCAACTTGTTGCTTTTGGCCAGCATCTTCATTCTCGTTTGTTTTTTGAGAGAGTATATTTTCCTGTTTTCCTTCTACCTCCATGTCACTGCTGAGATTTTGAGTCTGCACAACGCTCATGGTTGAAGGTGCAGAAGTTTTATCAGTTTCCATAGGTGTACTGGAGTCGACAGTCTGACTATCCGACACAACAGATTCTGCATTACTAGAAGTATCTAGGGTTACTCCATTTGTTGCATTTCCATTCTGAGTTATAGTGGAAGATGTTGTGCTAGAGTCTTGTTGCTCGCTGTTGGTAGCTACATCAGATCTCTTGGTTTGCTCTAATACAACATTTTGCTGTGTAGAGTCATCTTTCTTAGGGTCCACTTGCTGCTGATCTGTAGAATTTTGTGGTGTAGAGTCACCCATCTTTGTGTCCCCTTGCAGCTGATTGGTTGAACTATTCAGTGTAGAGTCATCTGTCTTGGTGTCTAGTTGCTGCTGATCGGTTGAATTACGCGTGGAACCATTGTCTGGTTCCAAATGATTACTCTCACCACCACCCGCTTCAGCTTCCTTGGCCCTTTCATTATCATTCAGTTCAATCTTTTCAGTCACTTCCACATTTGAGACAGACTTGTTTTGATCAACATCAACCACTTCAGTGCTATTTGTATTATTTTCTTTGTCTCCAAACTGCTTTTCTTCTTTAGAATTTTCTGAACCGCCTTGTTCATTATCTTGCGTTGCTTTCTGAATTTCATGGGACATAGCACTGGAGGCATCATCAGCCTTGTAAGGCTCTTCTCTTGCCCCCTCATCAATTTCACCTCGAACTCGAACCCGATCATCAGTTAAAAGCAGCTTCTCAATCTTATCACCTTCCTTCTCTTCGGCTTCCTTTTCTTTATCATCTGTATCATTGCGTTGTTCCCCCTCTTTATTATCCACCCCTTGAGTCTCCTCTGATGTTCCTTTCTCGTCACTTCTGTCCTCTTTGGTCTCTTCATTCTCCTTCTGTTCAATTTCTTTCTCTTTGGTCTCGTCATTCTCCTTCTGTTCATTTTCTTGCTCTTTGTTCTCTCCATTCTCCTTCTGTTCAATTTCTGTTTCTTTGGTCTCTCCGTTCTCCTTCTCTTCATTTACTTTCTCTGTAGTCTCTACATTCTCCTTCCGTTCACTTTCTGTCTCTTTGGTCTCTCCGTTCTCCTTCTCTTCACTTTCTTTCTCTACGGTCTGTACATTCTCCTTCTCTTCACTTTCTTTCTCTTTGGTCCCTTCGGTCTCCTTCTCATTGCTTTCCTCACTCTCCTTGGCTTTGTCGTCTTCATCCCTTCCGTTTCCAGTTTCATCCTCTTTGCTCTCTTCATTTTCATTCACATTCTCCTGACTAGTAATCTCCTTGCTCGTTTCACTTTCTTTCTCTCCTTGTATAGAATCTCCAGGATCATTTGTTCTCTCTTCAATTTTATTTTCACCATTTTCATTTAGCTCATCATCTCCAGTGCCTCTCCCTACGCTATCGATCTCTTCAGGCTTGTTTCGCTCTTCTCCATTCCTGTTATCTTCTTCTTCCTCCTCCTTCCGCCCTGCATTGCTATCAACAATTTCATCCACAACAGGCTTTAGATCCTTTCTTCCTAACTTGAAGATTTGGTTGCCGCCACCCTTTATGGTTTCCTTGAACTCCGCTTTCTTGCCATGAGACTGCTTGACTTGGTAAGCCAGCCAGACGCAGACACCCAGCAAAAGAAATAGCTGCAGAGCATGCTTGACCTTGAACCCTTTAGATCTGGAGTTCCTGCGAGGAGATAGCTTGAACATACCGAGTCTCTAACAGGTTACAACCAGTATGTTTTCTTTACAAAACCTGCGTAAAAATGTGTTTGCACAGCAGTAACTGTGTGAATGATGAATCAAACTCTACGGATCGAACCGAAACCAGCAACCTTGAATTCAACTAGACAAGAACCCAGTAATGTCAAGTCCCTATCGATTTTGAGATGAAAAGCTATCAACATTGTTAATTTGGAGAGAAATCCCACTTGGGTTTGATCATCATCTAACCAAATCAACAATCTTTTTCCCATTTCACAGCCAAGACATTGACAAAATTACAATCAGATCTAATCACGTTTCGAGTTTCTAAATCAGAACACCAAATCTTAGAATGCCAATCGAGAGCGAGAGAGAGAGAGAGAGAGAGAGATACCAGAGGCAGTTGGAAGCGGTTGGCTTCCGGCGTGGTGGGTAAATTACCCAAAATGCTGCATTGCAGAGAGTAGCAGTAGGTATACTCTCCTGTAGAAATGCACGCAGTTGGAACTCCACACAATGCAAGATCGCAAGAGGTCCTTCCGGAAAAAGCTTTTTCTGGTGACTCCTCTGCCCTCCACTGCTGCTGCTTCTTCTGGTCCTTTCGGAAAAAGATTTCGATCTGGAATCCGCAACGTCCGTGATAAAAGGACCGACAAATTTTTTATAAAATCACCTGCCTTACCGATTTGTTTTTCCCACAAACGAGGTTAACAACTCGCCACGTGTCCATCCCCAGATCGAATATGTCGGTGGCCTTTAAGGCAATCCCCTTTCCCCCTGCGCCTTCATCACAACACCACCAAAACGACGCAAACGACGACCGCCAAAAAACAAAAATGGCATCGAAGCTACTTGCTTCCGCTCTCCGCCGCCAAACCCTAACCACAAAACCCGCCTCCACCGCCTCCGACTTCGTCCGCACCCTCTCCACCGCCGCCGCCGTCGCCGAAACCTACGACGACCCAGATGGAGTTTCAATGAAGGGGGTCAAAATTTCGGGCCGGCCTCTGTACCTGGACATGCAGGCCACGTCGCCGGTGGACCCCAGGGTCGTCGACGCCATGCTTCCTTACTACCTCACCCGGTACGGAAACCCCCACTCCCGGACCCACATGTACGGCTGGGAGTCCGACTCCGCCGTCGAGACCGCCCGCGCCCAGGTCGCCGACTTAATCGGCGCCTCCCCCAAAGAAATCGTCTTTACCTCCGGCGCCACCGAGTGCAACAACATCTCTGTCAAGGGCGTCATGCACTTCTACAAGGACAAGAAGCGCCACGTCGTCACCACCCAGACGGAGCATAAGTGCGTTCTGGATTCCTGCCGCCATCTCCAGCAGGAGGGATACGATGTGACCTACCTGCCGGTGAAGACGGACGGGCTTATCGACCTCGACGAGCTCCGCTCCTCGATTCGGCCCGATACAGGCCTCGTATCGGTCATGGCGGTGAACAACGAGATTGGGGTTATTCAGCCGATGGAGGAAATTGGGGAGATTTGCAAGGAGTTCAAAATTCCATTCCATACGGACGCGGCTCAGGCGCTTGGGAAGATCCCAATTGATGTGGACAAATGGAATGTGAGCTTGATGTCCCTTTCGGGGCACAAGGTTTACGGGCCGAAGGGGGTCGGAGCTTTATACATGAGGAGGAGGCCAAGAATTCGGGTGGAGCCCCAAATGAATGGAGGTGGACAGGAGAGAGGGATTCGGAGCGGAACTGTTCCGACTCCATTGGTGGTAGGGTTTGGTGCGGCCTGCGAAATTGCGAAGAAGGAAATGGAGTATGATGAGAAGAGGGTAAGAGCGTTGCAGGATCGAATGTTGAAGGGAATCAGGAAGAACCTTGATATGGTTGTGGTGAATGGTAGCGAGGAGAGACGTTACCCCGGAAATTTGAATCTTTCGTTTGCTTATGTGGAAGGGGAGAGCTTGTTGATGGGGTTGAAGGAAGTGGCGGTGTCGAGTGGGAGTGCCTGTACCAGTGCGAGTTTGGAGCCCTCATACGTGTTGAGGGCTTTGGGGGTGGATGAGGACATGGCTCATACTTCTATTCGGTTTGGGATTGGGCGGTTCACAACGGAGGAGGAGATTGACCGGGCGGTTCAGCTGACGGTGCAGCAGGTGAAGAAGTTGAGGGAGTTGAGCCCGCTTTATGAGATGGTGAAAGAAGGGATTGATATCAAGAGTATTCAGTGGTCACAGCATTAAGGAATTTGGTAGAGGAACTGGGTGAAGCAGCGAGTATACATATGCACGAGTGAGCTGCAGCTGATAGAGTAGATGGAGAATTCGAGGTTCATTTGCTATCCCTGTTGTAGATGCCTTTGACAACTCTCCATAATTACTTCATAACTAAGTTTTGCAAACACATAGTTGTTTTCGATATGTGCCCCGTGCTGTTATGTTTCCTTGGCATATGATAAAGCAAACATAGGCGAGGATGATACATTTGTTGGTCTGATATATTGTTTTCTTTGCTTGGGTTTTGTATGGGTTGAATAACTATTTTTCACTACAGAAATGTTTCAATATGATATATGAATATTGTGGTGAACGTTTGAATAATGGTTTGTTACTTGGTAGTTTGGTTCTTTTTCATACATAATATACATATATTCATGAGTATGGAGAAGACACAAGATTGCGCACTTGAGACACTGATCATAGGAAATGGTTGCATTTTAGTCGCTTCTTGTGCTCTTTAGTTTGGCATTTTGTTGCAGACTCGATAGTCATAAATCCTTATTTAAGTCTTTCTTGCTATCACATAGTAGGGTTTACGGACAAGGAACACTTGCAAATGTCAATGAAAGAGTATCTCATGGTGTATTGCCTGGAATCCATAATAGGGTTTGCGGACGAGGAACACTTGCTGTCACTTATAAGTCTTGCTATCACGTAATAGGGTTTCTGTATTGCCTGGAATCCATGGTTCTCTCGTCATTTAGAATTCCCAAGTGTCTTGTGGCTTTTTGTTTTGACTTTAATGTTTTCGCTTTCTTATATCTCGTTCATTTCTCCCGCCACCTCCCATCATCCTCTTCATTCCTCATTTCTCCCTTCTACTTTCTCCCCATTTCTGGCACAAGTGAAAACGAAAAACTAAAGTTGAAATTGTGTTATACTTTTTGGTTGTTGTAGGATCACTTTAGGAATTCTTTGAGTGGAAGAAGTGATGATAAGACAATTAGGAGGATGAGGTTAATATTGGCATCTTATTAGGGGCAGTCCGTCGGTATTTGATTGCAGAATCTTTCTATAGCAGGAGCATACGGCCAATATATCACTATAAGGTACTCTACCCCTATCCATCATGTCCATATTCATATTCTGCTTCATTGTCCCAACACTCCTTTGGTAGCACTTCTGTTGTCGTAGTAGTACACCGGCAACGACGTCGTCTCCATTTGATACGAACCAGTTGTGATGCAACCAAACACACACAACCATTTTCAACATAAGGGGTCACTTCAACTTACACCACACGGAAATTCAATGAAATTATTCTGCTTCAAATTGTTTTTTCCTTTGATGTGTCTTGGTGATGCACCTGCCAATCCATAGGAGAATATATGTACAGTGTGACCCCTTTTGCCAGGAAGGCTTTACCATTGGTCAATTCTGATCAGAATTATACCATCAGCGTTTATGCTATATTCTGTAAAGATTATAAACTAAGATGGGTAAGCAGTAACCTAGACATTGGTTTGGAAATTATAATAAGCAGTTTAGAATCGAATCTATGTTTGTTTTTTTTATAACTTCAAAGTCACAATCGGTGTCGATGTCGGTGCTGTATGCGTGATGTTTTTTACATCCTTTTATTTTTCTCTCTCTCATGTGACCAATGATATCATTGTGTTGTTACTGACCTGTAACTGGAAAGTCGTTTTCTCGTTGCAAGTAGGAAGTGAGGAACAATATTTATGGAAAAGGCTACAGAACGGAATAGGATTCTCTCCTCATTTATTCTCATTGTTTTCCTTTCTCGTCTCACACTTTATTTTTTCTCTTATTGTTTTTATTAAAAAAAAATACTAATATAAAATGTTAACGTAATTTAATATTAATCGTTAAAATAGGAAGAGATGGTATAAAATGAGAGAGATTAAGAGAGAAGAATCCTCCTTGTTTGGAATGGTGTGTGCCCTTGTGTGTTGGAGAACGTGGGGATGGTACATTTTGTCTACGGCCTAGCTAAAGGGATGGAGAAGAAAATGACGTATACAAAATCACTTTATTTAAACTATCAAAAAGGTGTGTCTTGTGTGTTGGAAAACGACGTATGGTTGAGTGAAAAAGGAGTGGGAATCGCATATATACAATCTTAAGACAAAAAAATTCTCTCCTTTGTGAGAGACCTCTGGAGTGAGTGATTTCTCTTCTTGGTGAGAGTCTTAGCCCTAGTTTAATACTAAAGTGATTCTAAAAAAAAATGGCTATTGAAAAAAGGGGAGAGCTTTTTTATGTTTGGTAAACATTCAATATTGAGCTTTTTTTTCACAATTTTGAGTGAAAAAAAAGCCAAAAATACAAAGCTACAAAACCCAACTTTAAAAAACCAACTTTTTTTTTCATATTTGTTTTACATAAAAGTTTATCAAACACTATAATACTGTTTTTTTTTTTTTTTCAAAAGCACTTTTACAAAAAAGTTTACCAAATATTCTGCTGCTTTATTTCACAGCTGCTTATTCTCACAGCACAGCAAAAGCAGTTTTTTTTTCAAAGCACATAAATACCAAACCTTAGTTTGGTCTTGTAACTGCAGATTTGCTTCTTTTGAGATTTGTCAGTTATACTCTGAGTATTTTCTTCTTTTATGTTTCCTTTGAATAGTCGATCTGGTTCTTGGATAGATTCGGTAATTGTTTGTTTCCTTTGATCTGGTTGAGCTGGTGGGTCTTTGTGATTGTGTCGGTTCTAGCTCTCTGGGCAGCTCAGGAGGTCGGTGGAAGCGTTAATTCACAAGATCTGGAGTGGGTCTTTTGGGCGTGGATCTTTTGAGTCGATGCAGAGGATTTGCTCTCTTTGGGTTGGTAGGGAATTAAATTCCTTTACCAAACTTGTGACATTTGGTGTGCTTGTGTGAACTTTTGACTTGAGAAGTAATTGCCCACAATTGCTACTACATTTACTGAAGTCATGGGGGTCCAAATAACTACTGCTTCAGAGAATAAATGTTTCGAGGACTCCCATTCATTGTACCTTATTCTTTTGTGTTGTTCTTGTACTTGGAAAACAAAAAAACAGGGAGAAGGTCACAGACAACGTATCCTTTTACTGTTCTAAGGAGATTTTGCACAAGGCGTTCATAGTCTCTCTTTTGTATAAATCCACTAATCTCGTCCAAGAAGTAAGCTACAGTAATAGTCATATGGCACAACAGGAAGTGGAGGAATTGGTGGTCCATCTAGAAAAAACGAAGGATTTGTCAACCATGGAACACGGGATCAAACTGGTGGGTGCAGCTATCGAAACTTGAATAGATGGGGTGTTCGGAACATTCTTTGATCATCATGGAAGGACTTGGGTGATGTTCAGGTCAAATGGGTACGTTAAAACCTTTATATTATCTTTGCTCTAGATGAAAGTGTGGCAAATAGGATTCTGAGTTAGGTCCCCTGGGGAGTCATGAAGCAAAAAATTTTTAGTAAAAAGGTGGCTTCCGGAACTAGCGTTGGAAGAGATACAGTTGGAATTGGTTCTTTTCTGGATTCAACTTCAAGGAATACCTCTCGCAGTCATGTCTGAGGTTAATGTAAGACGTCTTGTACAAGATGTTGGAGATTTTTTGGAGCTAGAAAACCTATCCATAGCTTAAGGTTTTCTTTGAGCTAGGGTTGTTGTCAACACATTGTATCCACTAGGACTTGGGTGCTAGCTCTCTAGGGGACAAAATACAGACACGTGGGTAGAATTTCGATATGAAGGGTTGCAAGATTTTTGCTACTGATGTGGGAGAATAGGACATGTGAATACTAAATGTTCGTTTGAACCTTTAAGGGGTAGTTCAACTAGTTATGAGGAATGGACCAGGGCGGCTCCAATTTGGGATGTGGTGGTTCCGCAACAATCACTTACTCTTGGAGTGGGGAAGAGGCGATATGCAGGTGCAATAAGAAGTAGTAGACTTGGAAGCTCGCAGAGGAGTCGGGGAGCTAATGATGTTGAACCTCAAGGCGAGGGTGCTAGTAGATCTGAGATGTTGATAATGAGTACTATGCCACAACTTCCAATTAAGAAATCTAAGAGATAGCATCGACTTGCTGGACTTGGAGGGGAATGAGTGATACCTATTCCTCCAAGGAGTGTGTCCGAAGGTCTGCACATGGAATTCAGGTCTGAGTCTTCACTGTCAGCACCCATATGGACTCTTTCACGACGATATGCGGGCAGTCCTTCAGTCACACTTGAGGAGATTCAGGAAGATAGTGAAATGGAGGCAGAGGGTTGACAATTGAAAAGAAGTGCTGAGGAGGATGACTTGGAGCCTATCCAATTTCCACAAAAAAAGTTTAAGAACATTGAAAGCAGTCAAGACAGGAAGAAACGTGCAGCAGAGAGACTGAGGTAGATGAGTATTAGAGAAAGATGCTTGATGGTGGAAAAAGCTATTTATGCGGAGGAAGAATGTAAAGAACTACCAGTTAAGTATCAAGATATGTGGGAGTACTTGAAGGAGGTCTCTGAGTATGAGCGGGCTTCTTTGTTGGCTCGAAAACAAGCAAAGTCTTCCTAAGGCGGTGGCAACTAGCCTCCAACAGCCGCAAGATCACCATAAATTATATGTTTTTGGAACTGCCGTAGTCTTGGGTCGGACACAGTAGTTTGAGCCCTTTATGGTCTTATTCGGAAATATCGACCCTCTATGATTTTTCTATTGAAAACAAAGATGAAGGATCATAGAATTGCTGGCGTGCGTCGATGTTTGGGGTTTAAGAATGGGTTCAATGTCCCTCCCATTGGTAGGTCGGGAGGTTTAAGTCTTTGGTGGGCTGAATACTTGGATGTGGTTATCAATTTGCATTCTAAACATGTTATCGATGCCCGGGTTCCACCAGAAAAGACGTCTCGATAGGTACGTGTTACAAGTGTATATGGAACTGCTTATCGGGATGAGAAAGCACAATTTTAGGATTAGATGAATACTCATCTTCATTCCTCTTGTGTTCCTTGGTCGTGTGGTGGGGATTTCAACAAGTCTTTGGGATTCTGAGAAATCTGGTGGCTTGGTTGTTTTGTATAATAGGCCTCAGTATCTGGCAAATTTTATGCACGTCGTTGAGCTGTTTGACCTCGACTTCAATGGTCCCCCCCCCCTCCCCTTTTTACTTGGCATGGTACTAGAAATGGAGAGTTGGTGCAAGAGAGGTTATATAGAGGGTTTTCCAACCAGTTATGGCAGGACCAAACCGAACCGATATATGAAAATCATATACAAATACCTCAAAACTTGGTGGCTTGAGGATTCAAACCCTTTCCCTCTAGGTTCAGATAGTTGCTTCAAACCAACTTGATGTTGGCTTTGTGTTGCTATAATTGTACAACTAAGTTATTTATAGGTATTCTTATCTTTATGCTTTTTAAAATTTCTGAAGTTTACAAACCTTAGTCGACTTACATTTTAGTTTTCACTTTTCTTCTACATACTCTCTCTCTCCCCTCTGCTACTTTCTTCGTCTATGCTTCCTCTGTTTCTCAGTCTCTCTCTCATTCCTCTCTTCCTCCAAATTACTTTCTCTCCAATCTTGTCATGTCCTCCTCACAGATTCCTTCTTCCAAACCATGATTTTCCCTCGCCCCCTTCAAATCGGAACCCATCTAAATTGGAAGATTCTAATCCGAATTTTCCAAGCTTTCACAGATAATTTTTGAATAAAAAAGAATATGATTTATATTGTGATTTTGCTGAATTAAAATGGGTTTTTCTTTTAATTATTTTGTTGGGGTTTTGCATATTATAATCTTTCAATTTGGCAGAAAGGAGAGGAAGATGCCCCCAATCCACCATCTTTATTCCCAATGCAAAACAGGGATCTCAGGAACAAAGCAAGAACATATTTCTTTACAATTATTGTTTGATCATTTGTTGGTATCAAATTTCCTTCAGATTTTCTTTACAAACTTTCATTATAATTATTTCTTATTTCGCATTGTGTAGCAACTTCAAGCACAAGCTTGGTATGGTGCCAAAACCAAAACCAAAAATAAATCATTCAACCGGTGGGAATGTTAGAATATTGTCAAAGATTGTCCTAAATTCAAAGTTGTGCATGTCGGTCCAGAAGTTTTCATGAACAACACCCCTCTACACTCTACACCTGATCATGACACGCATGTTTATGAAGATGAAGTAGAAGTGCCCAAAACGCCCCCCCTAAACAAGCGTTGGGATTGACCCGTTATCCAATTAGGCCTCAAGGCAAGAAGGCTTCAAAGAGAATTGCTTCGAAGAATGATTATGCAAAGTATATGGAACAACTTGCTCGCCAAGGTGAATTGACTTTGGCGCGGGAAATGGCGAAATTTGAGGCTGATAAGACTAAAGAGGAGGCAAATGCTATAGCTGTTGAGAGAGCATTTCAAGCTAATGAGAGAGAAAGAGAGCTACTTAGGCAAGAAAGGGAACATGTTAGAGAAGAAAGAATGGCTCAACGAGATCGTGACATTATGAACATGCCTTTAGAAAGGAAGTCTCCAAATTCTAAATGTTTTTGGAAGTCGCAGAAGTGGTGCGAAGGAGGTGTGCAAGAGAAGCGAGAGCAAGAGGAGATGATCCTAGCACGACAAAAGAAGATCAGCCTAACACCAAAAATTGGTTAAGTGATGATGAATACAGTACTTTTTGTAATCGGAGGCCATAATTTTCCAATCACTTTGGGTTGTAATTTCTTATTTATTGAATAAAGTACTTTAATGTTGTTTCCAATTTATTGATTTTAGTACTTTATTTAATTTGGTAATTTATTTATACTAAGAGAATCTTTATTCAAAAAAACATTTAAACACACCAAATAAAATTACATAAACATACCAAATAACAAAAAACTCACTAAATGAACTAAAAGAAACACACCAAATAAAATTAAATAAACACACCAAAAAAAAAAAAAAACAAACAAACACATTAAATGAACTTAAGTATCTTGAACTTGTTTCAATTCCCACTAGTGCTCTATCAAATTAATTTGCCGGGCATTGTGCATATATGGCCTTTGAAGTGTAGTATATTGTTGAATGATCAATTCATTATAATGTCCATCCCTTTGTAATGGCTCATGTTGCACGAGTTCTTTGGTGGCGTCATGAGCACAATATATACGTGTTCTTGAATTGTTCATCATGTCTGGCTCATATTCATCAACATCATAATAATACTCATCTTCCACAATTATGTTGTGAAGAATGATGCAGGTCATCATGATGGATCGAAGCGACTTTACATCAAACAATCTGGTAGCACCCCTGACTATCACCCAACGAGCTTGGAGGATACCAAAACAACGCTCCACATGCTTCCTGCACCCCTCTTGACAGCTTGTAAAGTGTTTTTCCTTTATACTGCTGTTAGTTTTAAACTAACTGCGACCTAACCACTTAGTTTACGTCAGCAAACAAAGCGGTACATGCAGCAAAAACCAAGGCCAGACTATTATTAATATCAATCTAATTTTCACTCTCCATCATACGAAAAACCGAAAATGCACTAAGAAATCAGCCTCCAAGCCTCCAACACAAATCATATTTGCATTATATAATACTATTTACTATGCTAATTAATCAATAATTACAAAATTATCATATTTAATAAGAAAAAAGGGGGAAGCAATACGCATTAGAGGTTAATGCAATAAATTGCATGGACTAATATGGAGTCTAATCAAACGTAAGATCTACCAAGATGTGTCCCCTTTCCCTCCAAGATGTGTTTCCTTAGCTGCCAAGATGGGGATGTCTTATTATGAAACTAACGGTAAAGTTGCGGAGTTGAAAGCACAGGCCCTAAAAGATGGGGATGTCTTAATTTGGATGGGGTCACTATTTCGGTGGCGGAGGCTTTTGCGCTAAAAGAGGTTTAATGAGACTCGTTGCTTTTCATTCATTTGGTCAAGGGGATATGGAAGCCCCCTTGGCACCTCATCCCAATTATCGAAGACATCAAATGGCTGGCTTGTAGATTTCTCAATATTCAATGGCAGCATGTATTTTTAGAGAAGCCAATTTTGCGGCAGATAAGCTTGCTAGCGTTGGGGTGTCGGTGTCTAACCCCCATTTTTGGGATTATTTCCATCATACAAACAAGAATGGACAAGAAAATCAGGGTCCAAGCTGCCAAACAATCGTACTTACATTATTATGTATTTTTTATTATGCTAATCAATTAGCTTACAAAGATGTTAAGACTTGACAAAAACAGGGGTAGTGAAATTACATAAATTACATTAGGGCCTAACTAGCAAGACTGCACGGAATAATTAAGGAACAAATATTTAAATTCGTTTTTTGGAATTAGCATCCTATGATTTTTCATCCATTTACAGGATCCAACAATGGGTAAGCTCCTCCTCCACTTAAACCTTAATTAATTAATTAACATTTTAATCATGATTAGGGATTGAAGATGTAGCTGCCACATTTGCATTTCCAACTCATGGGCTTGTAGTTGCTGGAGTTCTCATCACCTCTGGCATAAGCAATGCCGGATACAACTTTGGAGGGGTTTTTGCTGCTTGGTTTTGCATTTGCTTGGGGAGTTGCAGGCACTTGAATTGCCTCACAGTGGCCGCAGGAGCTGCACCTTCTCTCACACCTTGGAGGCCTCGAACCTACCTGCCCTCTCAGATTCACTTTACTCTCTTCATTCCCTGTCTACCCAAATCAAAAAAACACTAGACAAATCAGGACATTTGAGTGCAAATCAAAGGTGTTTGATGAAAGTTCTCAGAGAGCTTTGGACTGTAAGTCCACTGGATAAAAAGTTAAAAACCCACCTGGGAAATGGCAACTTTGTTGTGAATTTCTCTGCTTTCAGCCATTTGGGTACAAAATCTGAAATGGGTTGGGCACAGAATCAAGAGAAACACAAGGGAAATCGAGTAAAAGTGGAAGCAACCCATTAAAGTGGAAATTGAGATGAAGCTTTTGGAGGTGAGAGAGGGACTAAATAATGAAATGGGCTGTGAAAATTTAAGAAGGAAAAATTGAAGTGAAAAAAGAAAACAGGGGCAGAAACCCTATAATATATAAGTTTGATATGCTTCTGGAGGAGCATCAAAATATTGGGAATTTTTAGGTGATGGAACGTGAATGTGGATGTCGATGGATGCTTGTTTGGATGGACAAATGAGAAAAATGGCAGAGGATCAAGTAAAAGGGAATAACTTGAAACCTCCATTTGGGAGTTGTAAAATCAAAATAAATATTTTATAAAAATTTGGAGAAAGAAAGGACAGGACCTTAAAAAAACAGAGCAGGGAGAGATTTGGGATGGAGAGCAAAGAACCCGCACAGCGAAAAATCCAGAGACAAATTTTAACCCCACCAGATATGGAGGGATGAGATCGGTTGGCGCTACAGGACATGGATTTTACAGCTGTGGATTTTTTGGGTTTTCGCTTTCAGTGGAAATTTTATTTTATTTTATTTTGTTGGAAAAAGTGTTATTTTCTATTCAAAGGAAGTTGTTTTCTGGGATTTCTTGTTGAGGTTAGTTTGAAGCTGATCAGCACAAGTGGGACCACAAAATCACGCCATCTCTCTTTCTCTCTCTTTCTCTCTCTCTCTCTCTTTCACAATTTCAGTCATGAATCATAGAAGTGTAATCGAGAAATAGTAAGGAGATTCTTTTGTAGAACTCTTTATGGATCCCCATCATTTTATGTTTATACACAATGTTTTTAATGTTTACAAAAGAATTTATGTTAAATTGTGAGGTGACATAGATTTTATGAAAAATCATAGTTTTTGAATGCGAGCTAATTTATCAAATGTCATAGTATAAACGAAGAGGCACTAAAAAATATATTATCCTCTTATATCGTGAAATGTAATGTGCTGACTCGTATTATAGGCACACTTAAATATCTCTCCGAATAAAAAGTTGAATTTTCATCATTCGTTCGATCCACATTGGTTATTTTTTACCGTCAAGATGTGAACCATGCACTAGGTAGATAAATTGGCAAGAGAGAAAGGAAAGTGTAACTCTGATTCTCCAACACATGAGAAATTGATAATGAAAGTGTATGTTCAAAATGGCACCACAAATTGCATGATCAACACAAGTTATTCCAATGAAAAGTGATTTAAAATTTTCTCCCCCATTTTGTCATGGTAAGACAAAGGAAGAAATTGATAATGAAGCACAACACATAGTAAGGAATAAAAAGTGAAGCATAACACGCAAGAAAGAAGGGTCAATGCAACTCAGAGAAACAAAACAGCACAAAATGGTGCAAAGTTTGGAATCAAAGTGATAATATCTAACAAATTTAAGCACAAAAGACACAAGAGTAAGATAAACTCAGACGATTGACAAGATTAATTACAACAGAAACCAAAAGGAAATTGAGTTTCAATTTTAACAGCCACTGTTCAATAGATAACAAAATAGAACTCCCCATAAAACTTGCTCTCATGAAAAACCCCTCCAAGAGCTCTCCCATAAACTTAGAACTCCTCAGATTGTGATGAGTCCTCTGAGCCGACAGGAGATCCAACAATAATGGCATCTTCAACAGGAACATCTTTAGGGCATGGATCATGACCAAGACCTTCTTTATTTTCATCTTCATCAGAGGAATATGTGAACCAATGTGCTTGCCCTTCGAAGTAGGAGTGGAAAAGAATTGCTGGTGGACATTGATGGACACTTCATTTCCTTTAGCAACGTAGATAGCAACTATCTTGGTAGTAACGCCACTAGAATGGCTGGAGGAAGCAGCGGTGTGATAGGATACAGATGAAGGATCCACAAGGCGATGAGGGACAAGCTTTGGAGGTTGCAGAGAAGGCTCGGGGACAAATGAAGGATGATTCAAAGAGGTTTGACTCAAAGATTGTGAGGAGAATGAGTTATTGACAAGTAGTGAAAATGCTTATTGATTAACCAGAGACTTAAAATCAACAAATTGTTTTCTAAGAAAGTTAATTTCAGACTCAAGATATGCTATTTTCCTATCCTGGGAGGCAGTTGATGGTGGGACTGGTTCAGGATCACCTTGAGCTACGACACACATGACATTACTGAGATTCATCATATTTTTGTGAAGGTCCTTAGTGGTTCTAAGATATAGATCAAGTTTTAGCATGCTTGGACTTGGACAAAATGGACTTGAAAATCAGAAAGCCAAAAGGCACATCACAATGAGTTAACATGGCAAATAATACTCAGACTAACTCAAGGGTAGGGTTACCATTTGATGATATACCGAGAACATTTCTATGAATAAAGTCAAACCAAATCCTATAGAAGGGTTTGAGGTGAGACTTTGAGATTTGAACTTTAACAAGAGGAATACACGAATCAGCATAAGCCTCACGATGGTAGGCACTCAGGTCATACTGATTAGTTGCAACATTACACAGAGGCAGATGACAGGTCAAGTTTAAGGACCGTACAAATGATAAATGGTTCAAAGGCAACTATAACGCCACAAACATAAACAAGACCATTAGAGTCAGGGAAAGTTGATGGAATGTTAGAGTAAAACTCTTGAAACATAGACAAATTGAAATTATAAGGATGAGAGTTTACCTTATGAAACCTGTACTGTTCAACTAAGTCATCAAAGTGGATAGCGTTAGCCACAGGAAGATCATCCCAGATGATTCGTCGTTCAGGCATGACCTTTCGAGCAACCATCGTAGAAAAGAAATTTGTGGCTTAAGTGGACGAAAAGATGGGAACTTGGTCATTAGATGTACCTCATGAGGAACTCCTCGCAGTTTGAGATCGAGTACAACGACGAGAGGGCTGATCATGGGTAGAACCAGTGTTGCTAGCCATTGGTAAAGAAATTTTTTGATGAAATGGATTAAGAGTTTGAGACGGGAAGGAAAGAGAACTTAAAGTAAACGACACAAAAAGAGGTATGGTAAAAACCTAGATGGGTTAGATGGGGTTAAAACCTAGGACACTATGAAGACAACTAAGCCGTGCGATGAAAACCAATGGATGAAATGCATCAGGTAAAAATAGATGTGCAAGGACAGGAATGCACTTAATGAACCTTACCTTTTTTATTAAGACACTTGACTAGTCAGACTGTTGAACAAAACCGCTACTAAACTACATTGGTGCAACAAGTTGTAACCAAGTAAGGAGACAACACACACACAAAAGAAAACAAACTACGGTTACAAACCTAGTAGCATTCGAGATATAGCCAACTGAGAATCTCATAGAGAAAGACCCAGAATAAACAAATTTAATACCCAAGCTTCCAAGACAACTTTCATAGAAAAAAATATATTTGATAAGGCAAGTACATTTGAAAGGAAACATGCAATATAATACTTCAGAAACAAATCTTTATGGACACACAACGATAACATAACACAGATTAACACTTATTCATGCCACAACCATGATGTGTCCAGGTATGGGAAAGTGATTGGTGATAGACAATTGAAAAGCATAATTTCATGTAACTAAGCAAATATTTAATTCAAGGGCTAACCAAACTTTTAATTACCCATTGAGATTAAGAACCAAGCCTTACAACATAAATTGAGCAACTTTCATGACACAAAACTACACACATTGATGAACCTAACCCAATAGAACATTTAAATTGGCAAGTGATATGAAGCACATGACCAACAATAGGATTGTAAAGAATTGTAGTTCATAAACCTATGACACATTCTAAGCCCTTCCAAAGATTGAGAGAAAAGAATTGAACTTTCATGACATTGCATGATAATATTTTTGAGAATTTTGGAATTTTTTTTTCCTTTTCTGAAATTTTGAGAACTTTGCTCATGAGTGAATAGGTTGAAGCTCAGATACATAATTTTACTTTTAAGGGGATCTGAGCATAATGAGAGATAAACTAGGTGGTGTTCTGAATGGAAAAGACAATTTACCCAATTTATAGAGAAGAGTTGACACTACACCCCCAATCAAGTTCAAAGTACGTTTAACCCTTAAATCAACGAGAACTTTTGTCAAACGAAACAAAGATTTTTCACAAGCCAATAGCCATAATAAGGAGAACCTTTGACATGACAGAGAAAGAATTAGTCAAGGTTAATCTACAAAATGCTAACATGTGAGATAGTTAAGAAGAGCACCAAGTGACAAACAAACTTAACTGATGAGATGATTAACATGATAGATACAAGAATAGGAAAAGTAAACATGTAGAAGAATAACAAAATGAAAGCAAGGCTACTCAAGCTATTCAGTCAAATGCACAAAACTCAACAAACCCTTGAAGATTTTTGTGTCTTCGATTTTCTAAGAGACTTATGAAGTTCACAGCTAGTTGTTTCTCACATGGCATCAAGTTTATATCAAAGACATTTCCTCACAGAAATCTTCTAAAAGTAGGATGTTTGTTCTTAAGACCTTTGGAGATTAAATAATTTACAATACTCAACTAAACAACTAGTGCATAAACTTGATCAGAATGCACATCAAGGGCCAAATCAAGATTATCAAAATGAGGAACAAGTGATGATGCAAAGATGTAAACAAACAAGGCATATGGAGAAATTACATTCATAAGTGTGAGAGAAGCATACCTTAGTGAAGTGATACATTCATCGTCCAAAGTGAGAGGCAGCTCATCACGAAACAGAGTTGGAGATTGAAAATTTCAAATATCATTATCTAGACGATGGACTTTGGCAAAGTTAGGGCACTACTTCCCAAAGTGAAATACAAGAGGATGTCTTCCCAAGATGTTAGGTTCACATAAAAAGCATTTAGAGACGAAGCTTTGTAATTTTCCACATTGGACCATTTGCTAAAAAGTATCTATGTTCCAATTTGAGAAATCATCACAGTTAGAGGCAACAATTGTATAGTAATTTTCCTTTTATCTTGGAACCACCAACATGTTCTTACCACATTTATCAACAATTCTACAACTCGTCTTGGAAAAGAAAATTTCGTTAGCAACTTCGTCATAGAGTTGACCAATACTAAGGAGATTAGTTGGCAATCCAGCCACATAGCAAACATTTTCAAGCATAGGAAGTCCAAGAATCTTCACTACTCATTTTCCAACAATCTCAGTCTTGCTCCTCCACCAAACACAAGCATACCACTTTTGAATGGTACAAGAGATAAAAAAAAAAAAAAACATCTTTGTCACATGTCATATGATAAGAGCAACCACTATCGAGGTACTAGGTGTTTGGACTAAAAGATAATATTGAACTTTGAGTACACAAACAATTCCCAAATCCACGTTCAAAGCCACTTGAACTTGGCTTGACATTTCTTGAGCTTGAAGAATTAACAATATTGGATATTCTGTTGACCTTTATGTTTAAACGATTCACTTGTTCATTTAGATCATTTTTTCTTTCCAGATGCAGTTTTTTACACCTAGGTCTATTGTGGCCAAGATCACCACAATGATGACATTTGGGAACAAATCTAAACCCTGAAGTAATGTCACCGAAAGAAGATATAATAGATAATTCCTTAGAAG